ATTTCAAAACGGGAAAAATCATTTGAACAGTGATCGTGAAGAACTTTGTTTTTGTGTTGGGAATTGCTTGTTTAACGGTTAAGCTGAAAAAAAGCTAGCAGAACCCATTATTTTTTGCATAAATTGAAGAGTAATGAATTTAGCGATCGGGTAATTAATTAACCTTAAATAATGTCCGAATAAGAAATTGAGAAATCTAAAGTGGTTCTGTTAGCTCATTGGAGGTTTGTTTGAGACAGCTGAGCTGGTTTCAGTCCGTGTCAGAAACAGCAAAAAATTATATTTCATTTTCGCAGATCACCACAGACAATAAGAGAATGGAAAAGCCAAATAAACTTTCGATTGTTAAACCATCATACTGAATGCATTGTCCGAATAAGGTTAGTGTGATGTATGCCATCACATTCGTGGCTTCACCAATACCTGGCTGCATGATGAGTCCATATCATAATATAACTATATCCTTGAGAAGAAAAATCTGGTATATCAACACTACTATGTTTTGTGTCAGAGACTGTGAAAGAAATTCAGGTGTGTCAAATATTATATTTGAGAGTTCAAATGATCGAACCTCAAGATGATCCATGACATGTTATTAGAGAGTTGAAGTAATCACTGTACGTAGACCTCCACGTAGACGTTAACGTACGAAAAATAACGTTTACGTATTGTCGTCAAATTGAGTTGAAGTCGCCACTTTGGTCGTCACTGTCATCATAACGTAATAATACATTTTGTTTCGGGTTTGTATTGGTCATTTTTTGTTGTGTGTTTAGATTCGAACATTTATTCCTGTCAAAATTAGAAGACTCCTTGATGCAGAACTCGTTGATGATCTCGAATTTGATAATTTTGACTCATCGGCATATTTCGAGTATAGTTTGGTTAACGTACAAACGTGAAGAATTGGAAAATGCGCATGCGTAGCTGTCAATTTCTACGTTTACGTTAACGTTCATGACAACACTTCAACTCTCTATTATGAATTCAGACACAGTTGACTAAGGGAATAATTGCACCTTTAAAAATTCTACGCCAATGGCAGAAAAGGGGTTTGAGTATGAAATTTGGATTGGGTACTCATTTACTACAAAAAAGTACCCTGATAACACTCGATTTACTCTCATGGTTTTGATAAAGTTTGTATTTCAATAATTATTGTTTATGTTCTAAAATTACTAAAATGCAAATTTCGTCAAAACCATGAGAGCAATCGAGTCTTATCAAGAGTAGCTTTTTCAAAGTAAATGAGTTGCGCAATCTAAATTTCATACTCAAACTCCTTTTCTTCCATTGGCGTAGAATTGTTAAAGGTGCAATTATTTGAAAAATCAAGTTCTACGCCTATGTATTATTATCGGACAAAATTTTAACACAATTTTTTTGCCACATGAAACTCTATCAATATACCAAATTTCAGCAAAATCACATATGCCGTTTTAAATTTATATGGAAAAAACGATGTAAAAATTGTAACTTCAAGGCCCTCTGCAGCCCAAACGATGCAACTTTGTACCGAGGTAATTTTACTTAAATCGACTCATTTTGGTCTGAGGAATATGTGATATGTTTTTGTAAAGACCTTTTACGGACACCCTGTATTTTGAGGAAGAGCTTCACTCAATGGCAATTTTTTACAGTGATATGGGCCGTCTTTTCGAAAAAAAAAATTTGTACTCGAGGTTGAAATACTTGCTGCTGACGACCCTTTCGTTCAACTTGTGACTTCGCATTATGTTTGTTTTTTTCGTTGATTTTTTTTATATTAAATACCCATTAAATCACGTTACGCTATAAAAGGGTATTTCTTGAGGAATAGGAAGGATAATGGAGTGGATACAAAGTAGAAATGTTGAAGAACGATGAAGATGAGTTGTAATTTCAATTCTAACTTGATAGTGTAATTATTACACTACAGGGCATTATACGAATTTCATAAAAAAAAACACGCTATAATTGCTATACCCAGTTTGTATGAAATAGTTATTTACCTAACAAGTGCGGAAAGTAGTAGTTTTCCGCACGCGACGCGGCGCGGAGCGGGGTTCGGGCAAGTCGTCAAGGGCGGAAAAGACATTTTCCGCAAGAGTTAGTGAAAAAGTTTGTCCTACGAGTGTTTTTGTCCATATTATTTATGGAAAAATATTTTTAATAATCAATATTTCATAATGATGCTACAAAATGACACATAAGACAGAATAGTTACATCATTTAGTTAGTCCTAAATATCCTTATTTCCAACAATACAAAAATCGTGCGGTAAAGTAACTTTTAGCACGATATTTGTATGCACTGAAATATAATGAAATAGATTTTTTTTTCATCGATGTAGTAGGAAACTTATTTGAAGAACATTCAAATAACAATAACTAAAACATTATTGATGGTAAATATTGAAATTGCAATTTGAGTTTGTTGCATGCTGATATATAGCAGATTTCTTATTTGAATTTGTTTGGTTAGTGTTTGCATCCATTATTTCCGGGGGGAGATCTGGAAAGTTTTCTGTGAGCTGTCTATTTTTAATTGAAATTACGTACACGGGAAAATGACGCTTGAAATGCTTATATGTTGACTGCCACTACTGTCAGTTTATAGCGACTTTTGCTATGGGTACGATCTGGTGTCAACAGTTATCACCACATGTCTCCTGGTATTTTCTTCGAAATCGTACGAAAAAGTACAACTTTTCCACACGCTTTTATATGAAAAAGATGTTTTTATGCGAATACACTTTGCACACCAATATTCACAAGGAGTAATTTCGACGAATGTATCTTTTGGCTACTTTTTGGTGGCTTGCTAATTTCTTGGAGAAGTGATGTAGTTCGTATTTGTTCTCCACGTAGAGAAGGCCTAGCCTGCAGCAAGATGCCTGCAAGTACCTAACAAAAAGCACGCAAAATCGGAAGGAACGTTAGTTTTTGAGTAGAAATCTCGTTTCGACTGTCTATCAAAAGTAAATATGTGCTAGTTTCGACACTGTATATTCTCTCATGCAATGTGAAATATTAATCTTTCAATATTCCAAGAGTCATTATTATGCTGCCAACGCAACAGTTCAATTTCTCCTCTCATCAATATTCTGATAGGTATATGTTTCCAGAATCCTTCTTTGAAATCAATAATCACGAAATAATCAAGGTTGGTACAATTGATGATCATTTGTAGAATTGTAGAGTGGTAATTTGAGACGAAATCGCATTCAAAATTTCATGATGAGATCATAGAAATGTTTGTATAATTCCATATCACAGCTGGATTGGTGAATTCAGTTGTAGAATATATAATACCATGACTCCGTAACGCGATTCGCTGATTGTGGCAACCTTCCTCTACAAATAATTTTCAGTTCAAAATAACGAGTTTTTTTCAAGTGATCCTGTAACAGATGAAGACTCTTAATGAACTGGGCAGTCAAACCAGACTGACTCTAGCATGGGTACCAGCACATACAGGGTACGAGGGAAATGAAGAGGCAGACTCATTTGCCCGAGCAGGAGTAAACAAAGCTCTGAATGGCCCAGAACCCTTTTGTGGTAATGCGAAAGCTATACAAAAGACAAGTATCAAATCATGAAAGCAAACCAAATCTCAAGAATCGTGGGACAACTCGCCAGGAATGAGACAGGCAAAGAGTTTATTAAAAAACCATCGCCAACACTCACAGAATATCTACTGAGCTAGAAGTACAACTAGAATACTAGTGGGACTTCTCACAGGGCATTGTAGGCTCAACAACCACATGAGTATAGGTCTGACCAATGACGGCTTTTTTAGTGATCGAAAGATTTCCTAGCCTTTACGAGCAACCTATGATCTCTATAATCGACAAGGAAACTGTAGGCCATCCTGTATAGAAACTTACTTCGTCATGTTTCTTCTCTACATCCTTGTCATGTTAGATTGATGTATAACAATAAGTATCGGCAAAGGGACACGAGAAACCTCTTAGCCTCTGATGATTGAATTCATTCAGTGATGTAGAAAGCAGCTACTTCCACTCAACGGATTCATAATTCATTTAATTGACACTCAATTGTTTCCAGAATGCGGTGCCAATGCACGCTTTGAACTTTGAACGGCATCTCCTCAATATCTTTGCTATTATTCGTGCGATTCCTACCACATTTGGACTGATATGAATATAACCGCATCAATATGATCATGAATATCAGGGTTTCTTTGAAGAAAAACTAACATTATTAGTACAGTAAAAATCCGATTATCCGTGCGCGGATTATCCGGGATGAGGATTATCCATGCCATGATTTTTATTGTTGAAATGATTGTGTTCTTGAGGAATATTTCATTCCTTAGAGTATTTCGGTGAAGGTGGTGGGAGGCAACTACGTCATAATTACGTCAACAACCACAGTTTACCCGTGTATCTCTACTTCGATTTCCACTCCATATTGATTTTCAATTTGAATGTTCCCATTATGTATCCTCCATTTTCCACATCCATCATCTTTAAACCAATATTCAAGTTTAACTTTAACCATTGAGTATTCAGTGTATATAATCAAGGCTTTAACCGACTTCACCAACTATATGGAGTTATATTCAACCCCTTCACCACCTCAAATTTTAAATAGCAACTTCTACTCATTTTGCTATTTTTAAAATTCTTAAGTGATTCCAGATTAAATAAACATCTATTCCTGATTTTTTTCTATCAAAATGGCAGTACATGACCACACGATTTTTTTTTATTGAAATCAATGCTATATCTACTATTGGGCACATTTTGTTTCAATTGGGTGACAATGCTTGAAAAGTCAAGGCCATGTAATGAAGTTTGCTAGGTACTAGCTTCATTATTCCTGGATTCATTTGATGAGACATCTTCATTAGATATAGGTAATTTAAATTCGCTGCCTCAAAAATATTCAAAGATATGAGTACAAGAATAGGTTTATTTTCGGAACGGGCAATAGTAAATTCTCTATATGCCAACTTGTGGATTTTTGATTATTTCTTTTCTCAAAATGTTTCAGGAGAATCACTGCTTGAGAATAAAATTATTGGGAGATTGCTACTACTGTGTCTCAGGTCTGCCAACGCCCCGATCAGATCATGCTCATTGCTGCGTGGAAATGGGCTTACACATGATTAAAGCAATCAAAGATACCAGACAGAAAACGCAGGTATGTATCATTACAGCTATAAAACAATTTGGATCTTTTGATAATTTTGTAATGACAATGAATTTTTCACACGAATGGTTTCACTAACCCATGTTCGCGAGTTCGCGAAAGTTTTCCAGTTCCGTACAGAAATAACACTCGTCCTGACGGACTCGTGGTGTTGCTCGGCAACACAATTTCGTTAACAATGAAGCAACAGAATTATCTAGAATATTCAGAACATCGTGATATTACTTATGGAAACATGAGTGCAGTAGAAAGTTTCTCACCAGAATCATAATTATGTTTCAGGTCAAAAAACGCAAAATACCTAAATATTTTCGAAATTTTTCCAGATTTCCGCTAATATCTTGCCGGACAGGAATTGTAACAGTATTTAATGTTGAAGAGCATAAAATTTTGCGTCGAATGACGTCTTCAACATCCTTATCAACTAAATTTATTAGGTCGCTCTCATTCGAAAAAAAAAACAGTTTTCACTAACTTTTGTTGAAACTGATATATATATATACTCACTTTTAGGCGTTTGTGTTTTGAAAATAGCTACACTGAGTATACTCAACGCTACGTGAACAACTTATTCAATGATAATAATAGTAATAATAATAAGGTTTATTGCAACAAAAAAAGAAATACATTATATAGGTACATAAAATATATCGAATCTGTTACAGAAGGTACATAGTCATAGTATGCATAGCATATTTACTTATGCACCTGTTGATAAAAAATGAATAAATGAATAAAACACACAGGATACAAAACAAAAATCACTAATTTCAAAAAAAATAGACGAAGGGATATCAATTGGATGTCCATAGGATGTCCCAGGGACGTACGAATTATTCTTGAATTTGAATTTTTCTGAGTCCCTCTAGGACAAGATCTTGCATAACTGATTAGGACATCCAGTTGAGTTGATGGTCCGTAGAAGGTCCCCAAAAAGTATCCCAAGGATGTCCAATGGACTTACGTGAAGGACATTGACGAGGAGTACTTATAGCCTACGAGCAATCATTCGTCGGCGAGGTGTAAGTTAACGTCCTCGCAGGGACAACATATAGAAAGTTCCGACTGGGACGTCCATAGGACGTTATTTCTAGGACATTGAAAGAGTACAGTTCATGTACCAATTGGGACATCCGACGGATATCCCTAAAGGATATTGTTATACGATCCTGGGAATATTAAGGGCGTCTGTGCATAGATATGGTATGTATCATCAGGGACATTCCATGGTTGTCTAGAAGGGACATAAAATAAAATCTGAAGTCATTCCAGAATATGTACTACTCGTGACATCCGATGGATGTCCCTAAAGGAACGTTCAAAATCATATCCCATCAGGGACATGCCAAGGGCGTCCTTGCATGGACATTCTACAATATGTACCACGTGGGACGTCTAAGGGATGCTGTTCCTAGGACATTTGAAATGATGTACCAGCTGGGACATCCCGTGGACGTCCTTGCTCGGACATTACATGAGATGTACGGGATGGGACGTCCCAAGGACACTTATTTTTGGTTCGGGACATTCGGACGTGAATTGTACCAAATAGGGACGTCCCTAGGACGTTGTGTGCTATTAGGGGTTCTTGAAAAATTGCGTTTTATGCCTTGGAATCAATAGGTTTCCTGAATTTTGAATGTTGAGTTCAAGAAAGTCTCCCCTTCGGATATAATAGAAGTTGTGAAGTATCAAATTTCGAGTTGAGTCAGTATCGTAATTATTTGGATCAATAAATAACCTACGCATGTACTGATAATTTCTCCATTTCCTGTCTGAACGCTTATTTCAACAAAATTGAAGGGCCAATAATAACGGGTCTGCACCTGTTAATATGAGCCCCCCTTTCTCTCAAACACTTCTTCAGAACCCTTAATTGTAGTACCAGTCCCCCTTCCCAACCCTGAGTCACTTTCCCCTACTTTTTTTGTAAGCCTGATGGCTTGAGGATATTGGAGGAAATATCATGGAAAGACCATAACAATCAGCTGAAACAGAAAACATCCAGTGAAATGTAGTATAGTAAGGAGATGCAATGTTTGGGAAATACCTGATAGCAATGTTCATTTCATTTTACTTTTTTCCGTTTGGATGCGACTGGTGGGGCGTATGGTGTTCAATGGACGATGATGGTTCAGGCTCAATAGTACATTTCACACATAGGGAATAAAGCGGTATTTTAAATCCCTAGACAGAAAGTTTATAGCTCGACCAACGGGAGGGCTATAATTTGTAGAGGTATTTGAAAACACTTTAGTCCTGAGGTGTATATACTATTTTATGCACTTAAGGATAGGTAAAACCGGGTAAAATGTTGAGAATAACGAAAAGAAATCTAATGCCACTAAGCGGTAGATACTCTAATCATCGAAGTAGACACACTAAGAAAAATGTTTATTCTATTTTTTGTTACAAACTTCACATGTCGAAGATTTGATATGTTGAATAAACTTGGTTATTCCGAATCTGTATGTCAACCAAAAGTAATTGTGTTTATACAAATCAGTGGTTAATGAACCTGTCAATATAAGTATAGGAACACAACTAATGGTTAACATACCACTAATTTTCTTGTGAGACAAAAAACTGGCTGATAACAAATTTTCTTGATCAAAACAACAATTCAATTTGTATGGTGACTCAACATACTCAACTATCGTTCGTTGTTTTTTTTTTTGGTTGATTTAACACATTCATTTCTTTGCCGTTGAGAAACTTTCTATCGGACTCAAGTTAAGAAACATGCACTATTGAACGCCATTTGATCAGGCAAAATGAGATTTGGTATAGGTGCAAAATATTATACATCATTGCTATCCATGGCACTCTCGTCAAAGGTATATGAATAATTAATATTCATTATTTTCCTCATAGTGATTCCAATTTTATTTTCGATTATAATCCAATCGCAACTTACTTAGTATCGTTAGATTTCCAATGATTACCTGGAAAGATCACATTCTGACACAGAATCGTCTAAGGAATCTGAAAATTGTATAATATACAGGGTGATCTACTTCAGAAATGGAGCCATTTCTGGTGAAACCAGAAGTGAAAGTAGACGTAACCACTGTATCAATAGCTACCAACCTGATTTGACAGATATTTTGACACATTCCAAAACTGACTGGAGTTTTCATATCTCGCAAAATCCCAACCATCGTTACACAAAACTACATCACCATTATCAACTGGCTACAATGATATAAATATTTCTAACAATTTATTCTGATCTAAACCATAGATTAAACAATAAACTAGCCAACTCCAAGTGTTTTCTCAATTTTATTCAATTTCAATATGTTCATTTATCAATTGTGTTACCGTTTCGTATTTTTCATCAAATATATTCACAAAAATCCTTCAAATCTTGAATGGACTCTCTCAACCTATGTGCATAAAATGTGTCTGTGTCTTTGTGTGCTAAGACCAAATGAGTCCTATCTTCGAATAACACTTTCTTATTGAGATGCACATCCGAAAAATAAATCTCAATGTCATTACTCCTAACCAGTACCAGTGGAAAGTAGATTGCAGTTTGCACTATAGCGAATGATTTTTGTTCTTCACAACTGTCGAGGAATTCAGCAAATGGAATCAGTTTATCTGGAACCAGTCCAGCCCCTTTCAAATGTTTCTCCAAACAACTATAGTACATTCCGATAACTTCATACATATGCTCCTTCCTGAACTCCCTGGAAGTTGTTAGGTGTAACAAAGACATCACATCTTGCGCAGGAGGGACATATCTACCACACTGAAAGTCAACGAACTTACACTGTGAGCCCTCAGCTCCTTTTTTCAAAAGAAAATTTGTGGCCCAGAGATCACCATGTGTCAAGACATTCCTGAATTTTTCAGAGGGCTTCACCAAATCATAAATTTTATGACAAACTTTTTCAGCAACGTCTCGGAAGTTTTTTCCTGAACTGAGCTTTGTAGGAAAATCGAAAATGTCAATTTCGTTTAATACACATTTAATGGAAGCGTTGATACCATCTTCATTGATGAATCCCTCACGATCATTGAAGAAAGATTCTGCAAAGTTTTCTGGAAACATTTCGAGCAAGGTCTTTCCTATCTTTTCTTCATAGATAATACTACTTGCGTGAATTTTTGCTAATGATTGTAATATAACCAACGTTTCGCTTTCCAGGACTTTATGTTTATCCAATGCGTGGAAACCATCAGCTGTAAGGTCTTCTAAGAAAAAGTATTTGTTGCTTTTCGCTAGATAACATTCTGGTACAACACTGTTAATGATATTTATCCCACTCTTCCTGAATTCTTCAAAAAGCTTGTACACAAACATCTCTTTTTCGAAGGCTCCTATACCTTCTGCAAACATTGCACATGCTTCCATCTTAGGAAAATATTTGATGAAGAAAGGAAAACTTTCAGAATGTCCATCCTCATGCAAAATTTGTACTTGAAGGATGCTATGGTCTCCCAATAAACCAGTTCGTATTGGAAGTGGTTCCAGTTTATGTTTGAGGATGAGGAAGTGTTCTCTATTAAGTTTTGTTTTGATAGCTTCGGATATATCTTCAGAAAATGCTGGTTCTGCGTTTCCGTTACCGGAACCATTGATGTCCTCCATGATGATATTTCCTGAAAACATAGGAACTTTTCATCGCGAGAATAATAGTCCAGTCCATTTAGTATTGGAGATATACGGGGTGGTAACGAGAATCTGGCCTCCTTGTAACTTTGAATCATTTCAAGATGCAATATTGACTAACTTCATATTTCCCTTTTGATGACGCCATATTGTTCAGCGTTTGTTCCCCAAAAAGCGAGCTCAACTTTGAATTCTCATTCATGAAAATCATCCATATCTCAAAGTGATCCAAAGTAATTTCAAAATAAAATAACAAGTAGAACAATGTCGGTAGACAACACTTTCTTGAAAAAATTATATGATGAAGAGCTTGCCAATCGGTAAACATGATTATTGCGGTCAATAACTTAACACGAATGTGGTATAAACGAGGAAAAGAAGCACTAAAATATATTTTGTTATTCATCTCGAAAATCAAGGAGATAATAAAAAACTGCAGTTAGAACAGATTGAGATAATTGATTTTGACATTTTACGAAATATCAGGATATGGTCCGTGCCGTTTTCCAGAAAATTATGTAAGACTATTGAAACAGAAATATTTCATGGTAGTAAAACCATCAGGATATACAACTCAAAAAATTGGATATTATATAGTTTGACACTTTCGAAATTTTGACTCGAAAATGACCTGTATGTCAAACGATCTCCTCAGTTGAAATCGGCAGAAATGGAAGTGACTCAATGGAAAAAATGGCGTTGTCAAATGGGAAGTATTTGAATATATCAGATCTACCTATATAATCATATATTGAATTTGTATAGCCACCCGGTACTGGTTGGATCTATCTTTCATTACAAATTTTCACTGATTCACCATTTTTTTGTTCAGAGGAAATACTATACCATCACCAAAAAATGTGAAGTTTTTTCAGATTCATGCTATTAGTTTAAAAGTTTGAAGATTGGACATTTTTTCGGCTTTAAATTGGATTGGGTTGATGGCGGTATATGTTTACGTTTACGCTTGTTTTTCATAAAATATCGGGATTTTGAAAAAAGGATAAATGCCTAAGAAGAGAATGATTTGCGACAGAGAACTCGTTTTGGATAGTAGGTATACCCACTTGAAAATAATGGAATGAATAAGTTTAACAGTATATATTCGACCAAGAAATATTATATAGAACATTGACTCTAACCTGGCTTTTGAATAATATCACAATGATATTTTATTTCATCTATACCTTGGAAATCAAATAGATAGAGGCGAATACACTACACTATACCATCACACACTATATACCTAATATTTTCGTGCAGTCTGAAAACATAAACTATGACTATACGCTCTCGTTTAAGGATGAAGGAAATTCCTTGCTACATTCAATGTTTATCTGAGTGGAGGTTATCAAACAGTGTTATCGCTAACTAATATTTACCTAGTTCCTCATATGCTTTCCATAAATTAATTTATCAACTCATTAGTGCTAATTAATCACCATAATAGTAGATATTATCGGACATGTCAGGGAATATTTGAATTATGCAATATATATTGAGTATCTAGAAGGGTTAAGACTGTTTACTGGTCGAAGAGAAGAATGAGCGCAATCTACGTTCATATAGATATAGTAAACAGTCCAGTCAGTCCAGTCATAGAAGTGGTAAACAATCAGTGGCGTATCATGAGTATCATACATCTGGGAAAGCTGGGAGCAAAATATGCCAAAATTTCCTCGCAGGCAAACCTTTGATCATCCTGTATCAAGTTGAGGCCTATTATGATGAATGTTAGGAATGGCGCATATGGTTATACAGGGTTACCTAGAGATTAATCATCTCCCTTTGCTTCATTTCTTCCAGAAATGGGTTGGCCAGCTATGAAACCAAGGAATATTTCCGAAGAGAACGATACTGAAGCTTCAAAATTGTTTGCCAAATGAAATACCTATTCTCATGAATTATAATCTGCAGAAGTTAGAACAACACATCAAAGCCTCCACCCTTTGAAAGTTCAAAGAGAGCAGCAGCGCAACCCGACATTCCTTCGATGATGTGTTTCAACTGACGTTGCATAGACTAAATGCAAGATGTTCTTCGGACATTTCAGGGATTCCCTTATTTCATGCACTCCAAGATAAAAAAATGTGACCACTTTGCCAAGTGATGGGAACAAAATAAGGGGTTCTATTCGCAAAAGGTCGGAAAGAAATGATTTTCTTCAGGATCGTAGAGATACGTTCCTAGATAGTCCACCTGAGTTTACGACCTCTGGGGTTGCCGCTTGAGGGGTGAGGGGATGAAAACAAAATTGTGCTCAACTTTGCTCTCAGCATTTTTCTGCCTCCGACTGATTGGTTTCGCTCTACAGCGATTTGATTCCTGTTTGTTGAACTAAATGAGTTTGATCTGCTCCATTGATGGATTTTGTTTGTGATTTCGTTTAGCAAAGCCTCCACTGTTTTATCACTCCACAGGATGAAATTGTATCGTCAGCTAAAAGAGTGAATTCCCGGTTATGTTCCACTTAGTCATGTTATTGATATAAAGAATAAATAGCAATGGTCCAAGCACAGAACCCTGGGGTACCCCATGATTAATGCGTGAGATATCTGAGTACATGTTATTGATACGTATACCAGTTGCTTTGTGTCCTCTAAATATTCTCTAGAATGAATTTCTATGGTAGGGACAAAAGGTCTTCTAGTCTTCGAGTTCTTAAATTCTTGAGATACAGATATTTTTTTGTTTCAGGTTGAAGATTTGGACATGAGGATAGGTATTCATTCAGGTTCGGTATTATGTGGAGTTCTGGGTTTAAGGAAATGGCAGTTCGATATATGGTCATCTGATGTACGACTTGCAAACCATATGGAATCAGGAGGCAAACCAGGGTAATAATTTTATTATTTGTATATCAAATACTTTCCACAATTCACTTTATGAAAATTTTACTTGAAATAAGGAGAAATAACAAGAATATTTGATAATTTTGATATACAGCTCATATATTATGATACGGTCATTATAGGGAATTCCATCATGAATTTATTCTCGATTGGGTAGATAGATGATATTGGTGTCCAGAATCCAAGTTAATTTCAGTAGTAGTAAGACTAGTAAAAGTAAATTATATGTCTTGCATTTCGAGTAAATATTATATTCAATAATTTTCGCGAGTCCTTTTTCGGCTGTTCGCTGTCAAGCCATCATCAGTGCCATACACATGTCATGTATTTTCAAGATTCCTGGGGATTTCAAGTCTCAAGTAACCAACATCGTTTATGAACGTACCACCAGACATTCAAGAGGAACATCTCTTTCAGGATTTGTTTGTTGCCCACATTTGTCGGCAGAAGCGAGACAGTACTGCTGCCTCATCCTCTAGGTTGCTACTACTTTCTAATAGAAGTGGCAACACCACATAGTCGAACATATATCATCTCATTTGGGTAGAGAATCTCCAAATATGATAAAAAAAAGAATACACGTGACCCAACTTGTATACACTTTCGAGACACCTTTTCTGTTATTTTCAGGCAGGTACACATTTCTGAAGCTACTTACCAGTGTCTGAATGGCGCATATGATGTGGAACCCGGTAATGGCCAGGAGAGGGATGCATATTTGAGGGAACACGACGTAACGACCTACTTGATCAAACAAGTCGAGCCAATGAGGACAAGAAAGCGGTTTGCTTCTAGGCCTAGGTATAATGAGATAACTCAATGGTTATTCATTGGTAAACATACGTTTTTTTTTGACATTGTTTTTCGAGTAAAATATCAAGTTCAATGCATGAGCCGGATCTCGGTATAGTGTTTCCAAAATCAATTGCAGCTCCAGCAAGAAGCATACGCCGCGCCCTGATGTTTATAGGTAGAACGCATCGACTGCATATGGCGGATTTTTTTTAGCTCAATGCTCTCCAACTGACTTTGGAAATACTGTACAACAATTCGGAGAAAGTAAAAAATCTCCATGAAATTTCCTTTCCTTTCCTCATAGATGGATTATGCGCTAATATCAAAGAGGATTAACATGTTTTGGTTTTGTACGCGCTACTGAGACGCGATGTCGACGTTGGTGGTACTGATAGATATACCATTGTCGATCTGAATGGAAAAGCTAGTTAGTAGTCTTCTGTTCATTGACCAAAATTTTGTCTGCCTGTCAATAGTGGTACTGTAAAGGACTGTCAATAGCATATTTGTGTCAATATCAGTGACACTGTCTTAGGTTGAATTTGTCTTCTTATATTTCTATTGTGAACCAGTACTCAAGCAGTCAACCACCGATGATGAAAGAGAAGAATATTTGTAACGATTGGTATTGGTACCTGATACTCTTGATCTCCCTCCGAATCTTTTAGAATTTCAATTGTATATTTTATCAATTATTTCTCCTAGTGTTGTTTGATCTCTATTAATAAGTTGGTTTGTTCTTTTTTTTGTTGTAGTTTGTATTTGTGAGAAGTAGTTACTATTACTTCAAAGTACAGGGTGAACAACTAAGAACGACTGTCATCAATCATTCTTTCAACTTTGATTGTTAATATCTTCCACGATCTTCTGTTAGCGAAAATCTATCATGTTGCGGTTTTCGTTGGGCTATTGAAATTTATTTTCTCTATTTCATCGTGTAATAATATGCTTACCATTACATTTATTTATTTTTCAAATCACGATATCTATTGATACTCTAGATCACAACCTCTAGCGGCAACGGTGATCTGAATATGAAACCAATTCAAATCACATTTGATAGAATAGGAAGAGGAAGAGAGAGTTACAGGCGTAGTGTGAAACAGAGAAAAACAAGGAATTTATCAAGGATCAAACTGCATATATTTTCAGTACACCTTGTTACTACTCAATGCGGAGAAAATTTCAATTTTCTCTTTACTCCACCTAGCGGTTATATAAGAAACCTAAAAATATTCTCCAGCTATTTTTTAGGATCACATTTCTCGATTTGTTTTCCATAGTTGTATCATTATTCATTGCTGAGATATGGCCGACGGCCATTCATGTTCATTGACTTCAGTTGTTGTGCTTCTACATATTCTGAAGCTTCTATATTCGAATAGTTGTTTTCATTCTGATTGCCCATTTTCAATATCTTTCCATCTAGTGCTTCTTTTAGCTTATAGTTATTTCAGTGTCTGATTTTGATAGTTCGTGCGTTTGATTGTGCATTATGTTCCGTATATATAAATTGTCCTGTTCCATTTTGCACTTCAAGAGGTGTTGTGAGAATATCTACACTCTGTTTCCCTGATGATGTAAATCTCAGGCAACAATCGGTTCATGCAATATTCAATGCATATCGAGGTGAAATATTTTTCTTGGGTCAGATATCCCAAAATGATGCATTGATATTTCGGGAATGAAAACTTTTGAATGTGTATGAGCAAGATTGGATATTTTCGAAATAACGGAATTTCATGAATTTTATGGTAACTTATCAAAAATATAAAGGAAAATAACCAGCTCCCACCTTCCTTCTTGCTGGCATGTCAAAAAACTTCAAACAGCACCTTTTTTATTACAGCAACGATGAGTTTCCGCCGAGGTTTCCGCATCGAATGAATAGCGTCATAATTCGAGCTGATATAACTTTCCGTAAACGACTTCCTGCATAGGTAGATAATTTTAATACTTGATAAATATCTTTCTTGATAATGTGAACATGACAGTCTGTGTTTGTCAGGAATATTGGAAATGTTTATGTTTGGAGTAAAAAATGAACAACCTAATGTTGTTCATGTGTTCATCTAGATGTCACTATGGTATAGGTTACTGTCACATTTTTTCAATGGTGTTTGTCCAATGAACAGAAAATATTTATACCTCTCGCCTAGTAACTAGCATTCTAGCTTTTTCATTTAGATCGACAATGGGTATACTACTTTTCGTTTCATTTCGCCTCTTCCTGTGATATCTTATCTGTTAATATAAATATTGAGGTTAATATTCCACTTTTAAAAAAATGTTTGATCAAGCCTCACCACAACTTGAGCGTTCGTACATATCTGGCACAACATTTCTCCAGAAAATTCTCGAAAAACAGGTGGTCTATTTGACGTAATTTTGACACTTCTGACTCACATAGACCTCATAGTATATAGAAACGTTAACCGGTAAGAAATTTCGGCCCACATTATAAAAAATTCGTAATTTCATTCCTCTTAGATATTTGAAGAATATATATTTCTGTCTGATTTAGTCAAAATTAAAATATTCAATATCAATTTGGGAAAACACATGTATATCACATTTGAGACCATTAATGAAATTACAAAATCAAACAATTAAGTGCATTTACACTTTACATTACCTAGAACCAACTACTGATCTTCACAAACAAAAAAACCTTTACTGTTGAAACTAGACAGTTGAATTCATTAATAGCGAACCCATATAACTTCATTATTGGCAAACAATCAGTATTCTACAACGGAATCATTTTATGTAATTCATTACCTTGTGATTTGAAACATATTGATAATGAAACAAGATTCAAAGTCAATATGAAAAAATATATACTCAGACACTATAAACGGAGCAATTTATTCTCATTTGAATACATGGAATGATTTTATTTTAATTATGTTATATTGACATAACTTGTTAATTAGTTGTTTTTTTATTGTTATATATATATATCATATGTTTATATATTCCTATTATAAACAAATATGTTTCTTGGGGTAATTAAGAACAACAACAATAAAACAGGCATGTATTCACGGCGAAAAAAGATTAATTGAATCAACAAGATATTTTGTGTTTGTGCTATATCCACGACAGATTATAACTGTAACAATAGTTTTGTCAATATGACAAAATTATTGTTACTTTACGTATACATTTTTTACAGCGTATCTCATTTCAAACAGCTTCCCCTCTGTATCTCAGCTATTAGTTGTGCGATCTTCACCAAATTCGGACCGGTACCTATGAAAAACTATTATCAATATGATTAGTTTTTCAGAGACGAACATCATTTAAGACAAGTCCGTGTGTTTTTATTGAAATGAAAAGTGGCCAATTAAAATTTTTTTTACAGAAAAACTGACCTCGTTATATTGTTCTTCATGGTTTCAAACCCCCAAATGTAAATTTTCATATAATTCATTTGAATAGTTTCGAAACAACAGGTGCAACAGCATTTTTGCGAACGTAATAATTATTAATTTACTCGGAAACGGTGAGTTCAACGTACAACATAGAAATAGTAGGTATTTATCTCTTTTTTCTTTCAAATCATGATATTCTACCTACCGGAGCCAATGACCGTTCCAGGATATGCAGTTGATTTGAATTCACTAATTTTCCGAAGCTAAAAATGAAAATAAAAAGGCAATCCTGTTAATTTGGAATGAGGTAATTTTTGCATATGGAGGTCCAAATGCAAGAGAAACAATAATATGAAGTTAGTTTACTTACAAATAAAAATGACTCATTTTCATTTCAATAAAAAAGTACAGCACTGTTCAAAAGGATGTTCGTCTCTGAAAAATGTATCATATCAATGGTTATTCATACTGGTCTAAATTTGGTAAGAACTGCAATTAACTTAAATCTGTGATATAGAGGAGGGGCCGTTTAAAGTCAATATTGTGCCATAATGACAAAACTCTCATTTTACCAACAAGATATTTTGAAGTCGATATAGGACGGAATATTTCGTTGAATCAATGAATCTCTTCCTCCCTATCTCTTTATTATCCAGCAAAATGAGGGGAACTGTATTCCTTTTCACTTGAATTACAATTTATCATCTGGAATACATCCTTGGATAATAATAATTGGAGAAGGTGTGGAAGCAAGCAAGCAAGTTTGATAAAATTGAAAACTCGTAGAATTTTTTCTGAAATACATCGAGGGCACTCTCATTGGAACACTTCACGATAATATTGTCAAGAGTAGAACATACGGTATATTAGTAATTTCGAACCATGAGGGTTTTATAAACATAAAGTTAATCAAATCATCCGTTCACATAGAACTACGAAAACTGACCAAGGAACTCTCATGAGAAACGTTCAATCCTAATAAAATGATTTATATAAATATGGGATGTGAGGGTTCCGAAGTTAGTCGTTAGTCTGATCTGGGGCTTCCCTTGACTTGACAAGAACTCGTCGTAATGGTAATTATAATGTAAGTTGTCATTAGGTCTTTATATTCATTGTTGTTCATTCATATTTGTCATTGCTACCCATAATGTTTCATGCTTCAATAAATATTGTTATGTTTGAATATATTATAGTCTCATGCTTTCAGCTACCCCTGAACTATTAGTGCCTATTCGAATATTACCTCTCGCAAGTCTCGCAAATTATTAAGCCAAGCAAACCCCTTATAAATCGATATGGATGGACTAATTATCTATCATATCGTGACAATACTCTGATGTTGATAGTCTTTGTATTTCCAGTATTTTCTCTAATAAGCTGTGGATGGATGAAGACATTGGAAGCTGTTGGACCACATCTCCTAAAAGTCCAACGACACCAGCTTCTCCACCATCAGTGATGCCCAGCGAAAGAAGTGACAGCGGTATACAACATAGCGGCATCGAAGATGAAAATATCACAGACTGGACGCCAGAAATTCCTTTCGAAAATGTGAGTTTTGAATATGTAAACCGAACAAAAGGGGGGCTAATCTAGTTATTCTTCTTGATCTCTCTCCTTTTACGAACTGAAATAAGAAAGAGACTCTTGCAATCAATTGGAAATAGGATAGAAACACTCTCAATTTCGGAAAATTCAATTGAATTTTTACGTGGAACTGTCAATATTTATTTCCGTTCTGAGTATTTCCGCTCTTTTGTAGCACAATATATGTTATTTTTAGCTACACAGGACTTTGTCTTCTGAGATGGATGAAGAAAATGAAACTTCATCGTACAAACAAAAATATGAATCAACAGACTCGCGATACAGAAAGCGAGGTTCAACTTATGTTTCCACCTTAGAACAAGTGGACGAGATAATAGACCACAGTATAGAAATCGAGAGCAATAAAAAGATGAGAGATGAAAACATGAATTCATGGACCTTGAGATTCGTCGAGAAGGATATGGAACATCAGGTGAAATATTCTTGGAAATGAAGATTTTTTTTTCATTATACTGATGAAAGTGTTGATTTCAGTTCAGTCAACTACGAGAGGATATGTTCAAATCGAACATGATGTGCTGTTTCGTAATATGGATCTTCATCATAATATGCCAAGCTGTCATCACTTGTTTGTGAGTTAGATATCTGGAATCTTTGTAACTTCGTTATTTCAAAACCTTTTGATTTGAGTCGAAATCATTGAAACGAACCGAATAAGATGAAATCACTCGTCCTAAAGCACTTTTATCAATCGGTTTGTTTTTGTATCTCTGCTGAAAGAGAGTTGCCGGAAATATGATCGAGATCATTAGATCGAACTTCATTTGATCGAACATCATTTGATCGAAATACCAATTGATCGGAATATCAATTGATCGAACTAAATTTTGATCGTATATAATCATTTGCTTATGATATTCAACTATACTTACCGATTCGTCTCAAACACTTTGTAAAAATCCCAGGGCTTCATCGTGAGAAGCTGTGAGAAGAATAACCTCAAGTATAGCTATAGTGATCAATATAATATGTCAGAAATAATGTCATATTCGCCCCTTTTGCCCCTCCCCATGTGGACGCCCCTGTTTGGTAGATCACTTGCTAAATATTTAAGGTATTCCTAGTAATTCCGGAAGGAAGGATCATTCAAGCTGAGTCCGGTTAGGTTGTTCAGGAACAGTAGTCTCTTTTGTTCTCTCGAGTAATTTCCGAAATATACAGTGTGTCCCTAGACCAGTGGGACAGTTGAATATCTCCTGAACCAAATTTGAATGAATGAATTTTCAAAATATTATAATTCCACATCATATCGCATCATGAGTGCTAACTTCAGGAATGACGCAAGAAAGGCTCACAAAATCGAACATCAGTTTTTTCAAATTTAACACCCCGTATATTTCAACATATCTGAATTCTCATCTCTCTAGGCTAATTATCAGTTTTTTATTTTTGAAAATTCGACAAGGCGTTGCCAAGTTATACTAGTGTTTCATGAAATGCAGACATTTTTTAGACAAACCCATCATTCATACTACTAAGAATTTATGGAATCATTCAAGACTGTTGGTAATCGGTAGCATATTCTATCATATGAAATACTCATCTTCTTCGAAAGTTATACAGGGTGGTCACAAATATTAAATAATTTTCACGAAATTCAAATTTTCTTCACATCAATTTTTCAAATAGTGCACCCTACAATATGTATAATTTCATGTCCCATTGGTGGTGTTTGATTGCTTATGGTCAATAGTTGTGAAAGAGAGATGTGAGTTCCATCATCAGCAAATACAAAAAAATGAATCATCAAACTACGTATTTTAGTGTAATTAACTACGTAAGTAAACCATCTTCTCACAGTTGAATAAATAGTTTACTGCATTTTTTTATTTGCATTTGCTGATGATGAAATTCACATCTCTCTCCACAACTATTGACCATAACCCATCAAACCACCAATGGGATATAAAATCATACATATTGTAGGGTGCACTATTTGAAAAATTGATGTGAAGAAAGTTTGAATTTCGTGAAAATCATATAATATTTCTGACCACCCTGTATAACTTTCGTAGAAGATGAGTATTTCATATGATAGAATATGCCACCGACTACCAACAGTCTTGAATGATTCCATAAATTCTTAGTAGTATGAATAATGGGTTTGTCTATGAAAAAAATGTCTGCATTCCATGAAATACTGGTATATAACTTGGCAACGCCTTGTCGGATTTTCAAAAATAAAAAACTGATAATTAGCCTAGAGGAAAGAGAATTCAAATATGTTGAAATATATGGGGTGTTCCATTTGTGAGCCTTCTTTTGCCCCTCGTATAAAATTCAGTCATTCCTGAAGTTAGCACTCGTTATGCGATATGATGTGGAATTATAATATTTTGAAAATTTCTATTGGTTTAGGAGATATTCAACTGTCTCATTGGTCTAGGGACACACTGTATATACTATCTAGGAAGAAGGGGTTCCTTTAGGCCGAGTCAGGTTAGATTGTTTAAGAAAAGAAGTTTCTTTTTTTATGCTTATGCAGAAAGGATATTTTCCTTCCTCAACCTTCCGGCGAACAGTGTAACGGCTGATAACGTGAAATGGGTGAGCATTTCAGGGAATGACGGAGTTCATCAAATATGTTTCTTTTACGTTATAAGTCCGATCTGAATACAATTCGATCAATTGATATTTCGATCAAATGATGTTCGATCAAGTGATTTTGATAAAATAGTTTTCGATCATATTTCCGGCAACCCTGAAAGACCAAGTTTTCGTGAAAAAGAAAAAATATTCATACAATGTTGAGTACTCATGATATTACCTTTGATCATGTCCCTTTTTTCAGGAAGATCTTCGTCATTATATGCATCTCAATCACCACCATCGTCCTACTAGTAACGTTAATTTTGGTAATGGCCGAGGAATTCGATCAGCTTCCAGAATCACTAAGAACCACTTCCTCAACGTTCGTACACAACAGGCGGAGAAGAACCGCATTGATATGTGGCGTCATAATCCTGATGGCCTCTACCAGCTCCCTAAGTCTCATAAACATTGAAAGTTACCCTACACGGACCAATAACACCACCCAAAACGCAGGCTTGGAGCTAAAACTCTCAAAAGGCCTCTTGGGCGAAGACAATTCCCAAAACTCTTCTCTGATACTGAATCTCTCTCTACAAGCCACCATGAACAGCAATTTCACTATAAACGTTGATAAAACAGGTAACTGTAGTGACAGGTGCGTGAGGGATATTTTCGAGAAGATCGATTTGAATGGCATCATCGAAGATGCAGCGAACATCTCGAGATTGGCTAACAAAACCTCGACTGTGATGAAGAGCCTCAATCAAAAACTGTCAAATCTCACGCGAGGATTGATGGATTCCCATCACAATCTTGTACTGAAGAACAGGAGGAAAAGGGGCATCGAGAGCTCCACACCGTATACCTCCTTGTCTACTATCGATATTGTCAGTAATTTCACTGAGGCGACGTTGCTTGTGAATCTGGATTGTAAACGTCCAGAGTACATAGTGTTCACTTGGGTGCTCTGCTTGATAGCTCTGGCGACTGCGCTGAAACTTCACTATTTGATCAAGTTGCTGTTGGCTGTTGTCATGATTACTGTTTATGGAAACTTAATCTTGTTACCCTTCAGTTTATTCGAAAGTACTATGGAAGGAACGGTTGAGTAAGTTATGATCTTTTCCACACCGTCCATTATGATTAGTGCACCAACAAACATCATATACAGAGCGTTTATCAAATCGTTACATATAGGTATAGTTTATGCAAAGTCAGTTGGAAAGATACATCACCGCAAGCCGTCGGTCCCTTTGAAAGTTCAAAGAGTGCGGCAGCGCGGCCTTACAGTCGTTTGATGATCTGTTCAATTGACTTTGCATAAACTATAATTTGGATTCCACCATCACAAGAGACTAATTCGGCTAACGTTAGTCTCCGACTTCTACACTGATACAACCGGTATACTGACAATGTTGCTAAATTCCATCATTTCTTAATTTTTGTAACGATTCGATAACAACCTGTATAAGTATAGCATTGTTTTGGTTTTATACTCTACACTCTACATGCCATACATTCCTATTTGAAAACTTCACTTTCATGGTATTCATGAGAACAATCACAAATCGAAATTACAACTCAATCAGGTTCAGCTGAAATTAATACCGGAGTAACACGACAGAGATCAGTACTAGGACTGATGCTTTTTTGTTATTTATAAAAGGTCTGACATCAACGATATACATGAAGTATTCACTCTATCCACAGACATTTATTGTTCATATATTCAAAAATTCAAAGTGTGGTGTGATTGTAATCCCTTATTGTCATTCAATATATCAAAACCAAAATGTTAATTTTCAACTACGAAACTACGCCAATCGGGCAACCAGCCATACTTCCGTATGGGAATCACAGTTTTGGAGTGTTTCTTTCCTTCGTTTCTAGTCAGATGGCGTTGCTTTCATTTTGTCTATGGAGAACGCCTCTAGAGGAATATAATGCCGACTTGATTTTTGTTTGGATAGGCTATGCTTAGTCGGCTATTTAAGGACTGCTGGATGGAGTCTGCCCTGTACTGATGAGAGTCAAAGAGCACGAAACTGGTCTGTAGGTGTCTAGCGTGGCCTGGATAAATCGAAATCAATAGGCATTTAAAAAAGATGCACTTGTATCAGCATTCGTTCATACGAGTCGATGCATAGATTTCGGGAGGATGTAATTCAATGTTCTGCGCGGTATTAGCCAGGAAAGTAGTTGTTTTTCTCCCGGAATCTATCATTGTTGTTCATTTTATGAACATTGTGTGGAAATGAATTTTAGGTTATTCTATTTATTTGCTAATTTTCAGTTGTAGTATCGCACAATATTTCATGGGATATCTATATTCAATAAACTGAAATTCAAAGACCACATTAGGATGTTATGCTGTTAGAATGCCTCAAATTAACTAGGTTCTGCAGCAGAAACTGTTTATTATTCATTGATAAAATCACACTTGAGATATGAACTACCTTCCTGAGGGTCATTCGAAACCGGTATTGAATTCAGTTAACAGAACAATAATCGTAGTGCACTTCTGAAAAGTCTCAGCATTTTGAAAATACTAATTATTGATGTTACTGAATTTTCATCTACTTAGGCCATTCATTCCACTATCAGCGCAGATGTTCATTCTACTGATGGTATTTTTTGTGATGGTCACTTACCATGCCAGACTTGTTGAAGTTACTTCTAGACTAGACTTCCTATGGAAACAACAGGCCGAAAGAGAATTGAACGACATGCAAGAAACTCGGCACAATAACACCCAGCTTCTGAAAAACATTTTGCCGGATCACGTGGCACAGCATTTCTTGAGAATGGATAGGAATAGTGAGGTATGTACTTCATTGAATTTGATTGCTCAGATGACACTTTCTATCTTCAAGTGAAACATTAATAACGATTCTATAATTTGGTCGGAATCTTCTTACTTCTTTATCTTCTGGCCTCATTTGAAACATACAGAAATAAACTCAGGGCAAGAATTTTCTCTAATATTATATTCGTAAAATTTCCCAGCATCGGCTGAAGATAGTCTTGCACGTTTCACTGTTGCGTTCAAAACTCCTTCATCCATAGAACGGCTAGGCTCTGGAATTCATTGCCTGAGGAAGTATTCCCAACAACATATAACCTCCAGAAGTTCAAAAAAAAATGCCAATACCTACCTCCTATCCCTATCCTCCCTAGGAACGCACGATGTTCTTTGAAAATTATAGGGATTCCCTTTCGTGCGCTCCAAGCGATAAAAAAAATTTAGTGTCCTAATCCTAAGGTAGGGTTAGTACCAAATTCTACACAGAAGACACCTTTCAGAATACTTGAGGTTAAATTTTTCGATGGTTCAGGTAGGAACGCCTTTTCGAATGTAACACTTTTCTAATTCAGGCCATTACTCTTGTCTTTTTTCCTTCACCCACACCAAGATAATTGTTTTGAAAGCAAATTCTTTTTGGCGAGAATTTCACTAAGGGAAAACTCCATCCTTGCTTGGGGAGATATAATTCACCAGCCATATTTCTGACTCAGGAGCGACTCTCTTTATTTCTTTGTCATAAGGCTTTAGAGCTTACGAGAAGTGGCCCAGCAGCCTGTTTCTTTAGCTCCATTGAAGAGACGTCGACCTTATTGCCTTCCTCTGTTCAGCCTCCTGCTTCACTAAGGTCTACCTCCATGATGATCGTAATTTTTTTTGTGTTCAGCTTGTCTGCAATGGCAGTTGCTATATCATGTTCATTCGCCTCTTAATAGTACCTATTCTGATTCCCAGGGTCCACTTTGCATCACGAAATTGTACTATTGGTCGGTGTCCTGTTCTCATGCCAGGTTTTGTCTTCTATTACCCACTTCATTAATCGCTTGAGTTTCGGTAATTTGTTTTTAGATTGCAGCTCATATACATGGTAGTTTGTGACCACAACTATCGATGAAATTGTATTTCCCATTATCATTCACTTGTTATAAGTTCGCATCATTCCATGTTCAGCTGTTATATTGAAAAAGTTACCTTTTGTGACTTTTTTTCAGGAACTGTATGCCCAGTATAGACATGAAGTCGGTGTCCTATTCGGCAGCATCCCTAATTTTACAGATTTTTATTCAGAGGACATAAATAAGGGGGTTGAATGCATAAGACTTCTGAATGAAATAATAGGTAAATCAACCACCAACTCAAAAATAGTTTAATGTTAAGGAACAAAAAATTGAATTTGATGTGTTTTTCAGCTGACTTCGATGAACTCCTTGATGAAGAAAGATTCAGCACAATAGAAAAAATCAAAACAGTTAGTGCCACAGCTACATATATGGCGGCATCTGGCCTGAATCCAACCCATAAGGTAAGACCTGTATAGATCAGTTCTTATTTCTCTCGTTACCGTTACAGATATCATTTAATGCAATCATAATGTTTTTTCATTAAACGGTTTCACAGATCTCTCGCCTACAGGAATGACAATTTTCAGTCGGAATTTGGAATGCTTTATCGCGTATTGAGATTGAGTGTCTCGAGATGGCGGACAAGGTTTCAAAGGTTGTGATTTCTAGACTGATTTTCCTGAATATACAAATCTGGAAGTATTTGTGATCATGAAACTCTTATTGATTCCTGTAAATACCTGGAACTTCCTGATACATTCTAGAGCATCATTGGACATTCTGGAAAACTCAGAACATTCCGAAGAGACCTAATGCATACAAGAACGTTCTGGGAGATTCTGAAATATTGGATCATCCTTAAACATTCCCGAACATTCTGGCTAAAGAGCAGATATTTTCGGGACGTCCACGTATTATCTGGGCGGAGGTCCAGAAATTGTAATTCTTAAGCAGATTATTCTTCTTCTCTCTTGTTTCTTCAACGTCGGCCTTTTTCTGCTACTGAGGCTAATCACCGACGCCGATGAGCACATTTTTTTTTGTCGAGGTGGTTTAAATCCTTTATGGACACCATATGGGTCCCATCCCCCATATGGTAGTGTGGGACTCCCCTGACTCTAGCCAGGGTTTACCCACTAAAAACCACCCCGTTTGTAGGCTCGTCTGACCATGTCTCCGACGACACTTAGGCCTATGGTGGCCCATTGTATCTTACCTAATGTTCTTCATTGTGCCCACTCCATTATCTCTGTACCTTGAACAAGTCTGTACAAATCCTTCACTGGATGTGAGTTGAATATTTCTGGTTCGCCAACTGGTTGCCCAAAGATCTTCTGTCTTCTGCGGTCCAATGCCTCACATCGGCACAGTATATGTGCCACTGTTTCTGGTTTCTTGCCACATAGTCTGCAGCTTGGATCGCCATTGTACAGTCCCATTCTGGTGAGATGCTCCTTTACTGGCGCGTGGCCAGTCATGAGTCCCGTAACAGTTTTTATCTGTGCTCTGTTCAAGTTGAGCAGGTCTACAGTTCGTTTATGACTTGGTTCCTCGATGTATTGTTTCCCATGTCTGTTTCTTGGGATGTTTTCCCAGTAGCTCTAATGTTTTGCCTGAATCCAGTCTTTAACTGACCCTCGTGCTGTACGTTTTGGTACTCCAAGAGTCTGTCCTGGATCTGGCTCGTTGTCCGACCCTCTTCTTGCGAGTTCGTCAGCCTTCTCATTGCCAGTGATCCCCTGATGACCTGGCACCCAGATTAGCTTGACGCAGTTCCGGTCTGCCAAAGTTCTCAGTTCCCTCTTGCAATCCCATACCAGTCGATATGTCACTTCCTGGCTTTCTATTGCCTTAAGTGGCGCTTGAATGTCTGACATAATACGGATCTGCTCGTTTTCCACAGATCTCCTGTTATTTTCTTCCGCACATTGGAGAATTGCGTACACCTCTGCTTGGAAAACTGAAGCATACTTCCCCAATGAGTAGCTGAGGCTAGTTTCCGGATGTTTGGAGTTTACTCCTGCTCCTGACCCATTCGCAGTCTTGGACCCGTCTGTATACCAAATCTTTCCCTGCAGTATGGTGCTGAGTTCTCCGTCATTCCATGAGCACACTACGCCCAACCGGAAATTTCGCCGAATCCTCTGGTGTTCCAACTAGCGGTACAGATCTTCAACGAGTCCAACATCGATGGACTCGGGACCGCCGGCTTAACGTGCCCTTCGAAGGACGGCATATCCGTACCATATATTGTACTCATTGATGTGGTAGCTGTAGCTATGATATGCTTCCGCTACAGATGTAAGCGGCGTTTCCTCGAATGGTCACCCATCCAAGTTCTAACCGCGCTGGACACTGCTTCACTTCAGATATCGAACGTATTAAAGTCATTTATTTATCTTCAGCAGTTTACAATTACAACATATACACCTACCACATTTTAAATCTTAAAGTCATGGCACAGCTGTGAGTGTGTCTGATCGTCCCACACCGCGTGGCGCAGAGGTGGCTGGTGTTGGCCAATGAATGTGAGAGGAATAGAGAATATGTGAGGTGTTCGTCGCAGTGACCTAGCTCCAAGGGCTAGGCCCCTTATATATAGATAATCTCGCTGAGGGTACCCAAAGCGGTGGGGGAGCTGCTCATACGCGAGCAGAGTGGGAAGGGTTTCTTGGTGTTGAAGGAAAAATAAAGATATCGTACGGCTAGTGCCTTACCAGAGAAGCTCTAGGGCAATGCCCTATGCATATTATTCTAGAATATACTAGGAAATTTTATATTCTGGATGATTTTAGGACATTCTCGAATATTCTTGAACATCCTTAAAGATTTCAGAACATTCTGGAAGGTTCAAGAACATTCTGGAAGATCCAGAAACATTCTGAAAGATAATAGATCATTCTGGAAGAGTATAGAACATTCTGAAATGTTCTAGAGCTGTCTGAAATATTGTAGAAGATTCTGAAATATTCAAAAACATTCCGCACTGTCTTTCCAGCACTGCAGGAATACCGATGGTCCGGAACACCTGTGTGCTCTGGTAGACTACGCGATGCTCATGCGGCTCAAGCTTGACGAGATCAACAAGGACTCCTTTAACAACTTCGGCTTGAGAATTGGAATCTCTTGCGGGCCGCTCGTGTGCGGTGTGATCGGCGCCCGGAAGCCCGTTTTTGACATTTGGGGGGACACCGTCAATCTGGCGTCCAGGATGGATTCGACGGGCATCATGGGGGCCATTCAGGTTCCCAAGGAAACCGCGCAAGTAGGTGGAATATCTGGATTTTGTTCAGCTGCCCGGAGCTGCTGTTATTTTTTTCTTGGGTGCTTGACTCGTGGAGAAACAAAACATTTATGGAAGTATGAAGACGCCAAATTTACTGAAAATATGGTGACGAGAAGATGTAAACTGCTAATTCACGGTCGTCAAGGTCATGACATGACGTTGCGATGACATTCGAAACTACGGGAAAACATCCCTAACTCCTGTGACATAGATTGAAAGTTACCCTGTTGTTTGAAATATTCATAAAACATGTACTTCATCAAGTGAAATCGTGGCAATTCTTCGCGTAGGGTACGCAATATAACAAACATTATATCGCGTACCTTATAGGGGCTCCACCAGTGAATAATGATTATTAACTGATAATCATGCCCTGCTGTGAAGAATGGCTATCGTTTTGCTTGAGGGAGTACAACTGTCGTGGACAAATAGATAATATATCAGGTATCTTCAATTTTTAGTTTTCTTGATGTCAAAGAAGTCATGATGAAACAGTTTTAATTTCAAAATCAAAGAAAATAGTAGTCGTGGACAAAGTATAGTATCCTACTCTCATATTATGAGCTATTATTCACGAAGGTTTAGCTTATGTCACGAGCGTAGCGTAAATAATAGCCCTTTTATGACTGTTGAATAATATACTATTCCATAGTTTTTAATGTTATCGCAACGTCATATGTAATGTAGGCTGATATTTATGTTATTTTAGAAAATAATGAATAGATAGCACAAATAAATATGAGGAGGTCACATATAACGTATGTAAATCGTCAGAGGTCTAGGTCGCTGCCAAAGGAGAGGCCCTCAAAGTTGTTACTAAAAAAAAATCCTACCTCTGTCTGACGTTTCAACATATTGCAACAGAGATCATTCTTAGCTCAAATTTAAATCGTCAGACGAAATTGTCATATCAAAGGCTGCCTACAAGGTTCACAAAGTTCTGGCCCATCTGAGATGTGTACATTTTTTTGCGATAATTCTGAGTACATTGTAAATCGTCAGAGGTACACTACGCAGTGACATTGTCGTCTGACTTCTGTTGTAATATGTTGAAGTGTCAGACGGAGTAGCAAACAGTTTCTTTTTGGAAAAAAAAATACACCCTTGAGGGCGATTCACGTATATGTTATTTGTGACCTATGAACAGGTAATGTGCATTTTTTCAGCAGAGGTACGAACATTTTTTGAGCAATGATTCTTTTCATTTTCGAGTGGTCTGACGTGTCCTTTACAGGGGTTTTGAGCAAAATCATGGTTCCCCCAACCATTCCACAGAATGAAACATGTAATACAACTGAACCATTGAGCTGCACCAAGAATCTTGGTTAATCTCAGTTATATCTCCGTCTATTATGTTTTCGAAAAGTATAATATTGACCAAGCTCTCAGAACCATGATTGAAATAAACGTAATATTGAATTCATAACATTCTATTGCTGTTTTTCTCCGTGAGCTACGAGTGATAGGACCACGAAAAAACTAGGTGTTGAACAAAATATCCACAAGATTCAAGAATAATCACATTTATTATTGTAGGGGCAAGTGGAAGAAGGAGTTATGTTACAAATATGAGTCAGTGAGCAAAATAGATTTTAGTAAAGTTGATGGAAGCTAGTTCAATAATCTGATTTATGCAATTGTGAGGAATAGTTTCAGGTTGTTTTTTCATGATTTACCGCATTTTGCTATCATATCATTTTTTGATATACATATGAATGGGCACATAGCTCCTTTTTCCATTGCGTTCTTGATGTTTAGTGTAAAATAACCCCTTCTGCCACTGCGACATCCTCGCCAAACAGGGAACCGAATCTGTGTTCATAGGACCAGAACCATATTTTGGGGTCACCGCAAGTGCGGCGAAAACAACTATCTCGGGCTGGGCGAAGAGAAAAACACTCACGTACTGGTCTGAATTACCAGGATCAACCCATTCGAAGGCGTTCCTGGCTAAACCATCGGAAAAAATGACCAGGCAGATCCTAGAATGGAGCAGGGGTAACCTGCGAATTCTGATAGGACTGTTTACGGGACACTGTCGTCTAAGATATCACCTGGGAAGGATGGGTCTGAACCAACAAACGGACTGTCGGTTCTGTTGTGTGGAAGACGAAACGGCTGAACACATATTATGTTCATGCTCTAGCTTAGAAAGACTAATGTTCGACACATTTGGCTTTACCAATTTAGAACCTATCGATTTCAGACAAATCTTACCCAATGCAACCATGAACTTTGTAAAAAGATGTGGATTGTACGGTGAACTGTAACCTCCAGGGGTGTGCCACAATAGACCCATCTGGGGTCGCAGTGGAGGGGAGGTATTCGCCCCACTCACATGGAACCTAACCTAACTGTGTTTCTTCTCAGATTTGAAGAATAGAAACAAATCCTGACAGGACAAGTTACATATGCACGTAACACCTTCTTTCATGACAAGGCATTTTACGAGATTTACAAAAAGTTGTTGAAAAATTTGAATTTGCCAAGAAATTAAAAAAATATCCATGTTAATCATCTACAGTCGTTAAAATATCGCGATTGGAAGGTGAAAGCTCTCTTATTCTATCAGTGATTTAGAAATGTGCGACAGATTCTCTGACGGTGAGTGTAGAATGATTCCTTCCAGATACTAGGACTAAGAGGATATGAACTCAAGAAACGTGGAATCATAGAAGTGAAAGGGAAGGGACTAATGGAAACATACTTCGTCATTGGAAGACAACTGAAGAAGCCACAATGCTTTCAAAGGCAACCAAGCCATTATAGTAGTTTGGCAGCAGTTGTGTATGCCATGGCCCAAACTAGAAGAAAACATACAGGAAACACACGTATGATATTATTTTTATTAATAATATTTGAATAAGGAAAATCTTCAATGCCGAAATTGTTCAATTTATTCGATCTTTTCGAGTCACTTTGATGATATCCCATTTACATGGTTAAATGAACACATGGAAGAGTGGCAAATGATTACCGTTATCATTATTATCATCATCGTTATATTCGGAACAATACGCAAAGAAATATTCTTGGGAAGATATCTCTGAAAAAACTATGAAGGTTTGTCTACAGATTCCATCATGATTTTCTGCAGATCTACTATTATATAGGATTTCCTGACTGAACAATTTACTCTCATTCCGAATACTGCATGCCGAAATATCACCGAACATTTCTATTATAATTCGTACGATTTCCTATATCAATCCTACTCTCATGCTCAGAGCCATAGGACTTTTTAAAAACAGTGTCATCTCATCACATTTTGCACGTTGAGAACAATAGTGTGATAATTCAAAATTCTTCGTTTTGAGAAAATCGTCTTTGAAAATTTTCACTTCCCAATCATGATGAATTTCCCCTTTCGCGAAAAGTATATTTAATTAAAATTATATGTCATAAGCTTACATGGATAATTTTTTGTTATAATATTTTCCACTATTTTTTTCGAACTTTTCAAGATTCGACAATTTTCAGAGATGTCATGCCTAAAAAGCAGCAATTTACTGGGATGTAACATCTCAAAAAATTGCCGTATAACATATATTATAGGTATTTCCCTTCATTTGTAGACTTCATCAAATTCTTGACTGGATTTATTGAATATGTGCTCTGAGTTATCATTTCAACAAAATCCAAATCTTGCCCTTCGGTTGCTGAACATTCCTCTTTTGGCAGTGTTCATATTTTCTTCAGTTCCTGAATAGAAACAAACGGGTATTCTCGGAAGAAAACTGTTGAGTTGAATAGCAATAAGTTTCAATGAAAATTTGCGTAAAGTTGAAATGCCATAGTTTGGGAAGGGAAGTGACTATAGGCACGAATAAGGTATAGGTAAATTTTCTGAAAGAAGGAAATAACTATAATGAATGGAATTTTAATTTGAATCAATTCTTGGGAATTCTTTTTAACAATTATTTTTCCGAATGATTAATCCGAAGGCATATACAATATATTGTCCAAAATTGGAATTTGAACATGAGGTATGGAGATTGATATTTCATGCAAAGATAAATATTTAAATTACATACATTCGAAAGTTTTATTCTGGTTTTGTATTTCTTCTTTGCATTTTTGAGGGCTATCTTCTTGTTGCTATTTTTTCAATATTTCTGTAAAGGCTCGTATTATCTACTTCATTTCATTAAGTGCAACGCATGCAATAATGTGACAAATCGAAATATTCCATATTGTTAACATTACAACTCAAAAATTTGTTGCATTATTTCGTCTAATGATGAAAATGTGATAACGTGACAACTCGAAAAATAAGGTGACTCAACGACTTGTCACATTATTTATCATAAAAATATCCTCAAAGCCAGAAGACGAGGCGTATCCTGCGAAGTTTAGGTGACAACGCAAAAAGTTACTTTCTTGCTCGGCTATATACATACTTCTCCTCTAGTGCAATAACGTGACCAGCGATGTCACGCAGCAGCTATTGGACCTAGAGATGTCACGATATTCTAGAAGTGAAGAGCTCGAAATTTGCTCACCGACGCTGGTTCTAACTCAAAAATCAACTTTTTGCGATTTGTTCATTTTAGTCTTCCAAGATTTATTCTGTATGTTTCAATTCACATGGATTATTTCGTTATTTTTTCTACGGCTTAACTGCCATTCTGTAACATTGTGCTGATCCACCTCTGCACATGGGCGATGGTAATAACTGAGCAAATAGTACGTTTGTACAAGGTGTCGTCGTAATAAATTATGTGGGTTCGGACTAAAGGAGGTAGCAGTAAGCAGAAGAATAACCGAAAGATGCCTTATAAACTTGATATTGTTAAATATTTATTGACCTATGTACATTTATTTATTTTTTATCCTTACTACAAGGTTAACTTCGTAAGGTTTTTCCCAGTTTATTCAAATTACCTTTATGTTTATTTCAATGTATATTTTGTAAACGTTTTTGAATAAACTTATATTATTATTATTATTATAGATATAATATGTATGACTACAGGGTGTTCAAGAATGTGTTGAAAAACGTTGAGTAGGTACTGACCTATAAGAATACAATGGAGTGTTCTACATGCATAAGAGGCAGGCAGCATGTATTTAATGCAAAATGAGCACATCGAAATTTTCCCATGATTTAATATCATGGAAAATCCAAAATCTCTTCTTTCATGACTTGTTCTGTGTTTTCTTCATATTTCAAAACAAATTCCAATCATTCGATGATACAGGGTACTTTCATGAACACACAAAAATGTATCAATAAAGTTTTCTCGATCTAGATCTGGATATTCTATCTGACTAGTACGTCGGTCTGTTGAATGATGAAAGGAAAGACAGTATTGGTAAAATTTCTGGTATCTTCGGCATCACCTCGGTAACCTCCATCAACTTAACGTATTTCTGTTTACCAATGAAACACCTGGTAATTATATATTTCAGCTGGAAGTTCTGTGTTCGGAAGAGCAAGGACACAACAGAAATCTGATGGTAGTAGGAAAATTATGAACTACAGCTCAATGAGGTTGACGCACAAGCCTGGAGGCTATCCAGTGAGAAGAAATACTACGAGGGGAAACCAAAGAAACATGCACGCCAGGTGAGGAATCTCCTTCACATTTATTATTAGGTAGCGATTCAATTTTTGTAACCAGATTTCCGTAGTGAAGTCTAACATACATACATATCCCCCATTCTCAGCATTAGCTTTTTTCCTAACACTCTATGGCAGCATCAACTTGAATTTACGGCTCGAATTGTATCCCTATATCTGGTCGGCCTATCCATGGGTATTCACAGTTTATTTATTGACATAGTTGGTGACATTTAGACGGTATTTCGAAATACGAATATCTTTTTCTACAAGCGTGCGTGATTCACCCTATACCTGCACGTAATTCAGTTTTAAAAATGTCATTTTCCCACACTAGTGCGGGAAAAACATTTATATAATGTTCTCGCAAGATGTGAGTGGTGGGTGACACACTATGGAAATTTTAGGTTTTTAGGTGGAGTATTTAGTAAATTTGTACAAAATCATCCATCAAATTGCATTATTTATTGTGAAAATGAAGAAATATTTAATAATAATTGATGTGGGAGACAATTTTTGTCATGTCAATCAAAACACAAATTAGTTAGTGTAATTCTCAGAGTGACAGATAGAGCGTTACTGTCATTATCGATTCAGTGGAATTGCGATGAAAAACTCCCAGCTACAGATACGATACAGATGAGTTATTGCCAACGAAGTATTAGGAGAGGTATGAGAACACTACACGGGATTTATTGAATGGTGCAATAGTAAAAAAGTGTAAACATCAAATATAGAAGTATATTTTTGGCTCATTTCCAAGAAATGTCTGAAACCTAGAGGCCAAACACCATGGGCATGCTGGCTTCCGCAATAAGCTTACCTACATAATGCTCCAAACGGAAGCAAAAGATATATCACCAATTATTAGAAAATAGAGAATATATCACTATTGTTAGTTGTTCTTGTTCCGCAGGAATAATTGATTGAACTAATCAATCAATTTCCTACGCTTTTAGAAAAAATATTGTTTCTAACTCATGCGGAAAGTGTCTTTCCCGCACTCGACTGCTTGCCCAAACTCAGTTTCGCGTCGTTCGGGTCAACGGCATTCGCGTGCGGGGAAGTATCACTTTCCGCACTTGTTCGAAAAATTACTATTTTCCCCAAGCGGCAGGGGAAGTGGCTTCTCTCTGACACCTAACAGGCAGGAAAGTTGTACTTCCACTGCCTAGACAGGAAAAGTTTTTTGCTATGAAACGTTCGAAGTTTGAATAGAATTGATAATCAAAATTGATACTGACATTGGGTGAACACAAAATGATGGAGTTTTCAATAGAAAAATTACTCAAAATGGGTTTTATACCCTTTAGAGAACAAATTTCAAGTTCTACACGACAGGAAATGTAGATTGACTGCCTATTGTAAAACAAATAACTACTATGCAGCAAGTTATCATATTGACAGGCAGAGGTGACCGATACATTTTTCGATTGGGTCACTTTCCATTATATCGGTCAGTATCAATAGTTACTGGAGCTAGAATGGACGGTTCAACTTCAGTATATCGAGACTTCATTGATTAATCCTTGTAGAATCATATCATTTCTGATGCTCACTGAACACTTCTCAACTAACATAACGGATATTTAAAAATGTTGGAGTTAGTTATATTACAGGGAGGTGCGAAACTCGTAATTGATGCTATGAAAATGCCCTAGGTTTTTTTGTTTCAAGATTCATTTCATATTGTCAAGATGTATAAATACCTATGAAATAACGTCACTCAAACTCCCGTTCATTTCAAGACCTTTTACCATAATTCAACTTTTTCAAATTGAAACATACAGCTCATTGTAGTTTAGATCAAGTCAGCGGAGTTAATAGACGTCAGTTCCTTTATAATTTGCAAAAAAACCGCTTACCGCGCGATGATACCTAGGTAAGAAGTATCGAAAGGTAACGACCATTCCCATTGCGGAAAATTGCAAACCTAGCATCGATTCCGGATATAAATAGTACCCGAGTCGATAAGGCAATCAGTCATTATCAACACAAGTCATTTAGTGATCACCAATTGAAAATGTTCGCCGTCCCCCCAACTTCAAGCCTGATGGCCAATCCCCTGCTAGACGTTATAATGTGAGTACTGTGTTTTTCCAAGTGTTGTTTTGCGTTGTGTTCATTCGGCAAGCCATTATGTTCTTTTGCCTTCGCTAATCTTTATTCATGACCTCTTCATTCGACCAATAAATTTTAATTTTATATGAAAACTGTCCGGTCTCTTTATTTGGGGATGAATATGGTTGGGTGGTGAAAAAGCCAAGCGAGTAGCTGAGTCACGACCTAAGGGAGGGTCAACATTTGAGTTGCGACAATATCTTTCAATATGGAGAAGGCGTTTTTGTTAGAATTCCGTAAAACGAACCGTTTTCGAGAAAAGTGTCATATATCATTTCGAGATCCGAAAAAAATGTTTCGGATACTTGTTCATAGAGGCAGTCTTTCTTATTTTCATCTGCAGAATCTTCTCCCGGAGTATACGAACGTTATTATGGGAATGTCATTGAATTTCAGAACTATTCCTTCCTTCTTGCATCAGCGGCGAATGACTCGACGATGATTGAACGTTTTCGTAATTCTGGAAGTCACAAAGATATGGTGCGGCTGGGCAATGCCTAGACGCTTGTTAATTTTCTATTTCTTTCCACCGTTGATCTCGTTCTCCTTCTAGGTCCCAGCCAAATATGCGGCAGCTGTCCGGTTCTGGTATCCACTTGGAGAACGCAAAGTCCATGAAGTCCATCGACAGGTAAATACAGGCAATTTTTGCACAAAAGGTTTCCGCGAGGCGTATTTTCGGGGTAGTTTTGATATCTTTCATCTAATATGTTTTTTATGGTTCTCAATTCGAATCTGAGGTTAACCAACGAAATTTCATGACGCAACATTTAATCCAGTGAATAGAGACACATAGAGGGGGTTCACCTTACAAACGGTCTGGTAGTTCTGAATTTTTGATATATTATCTAGGATGGTTATTGAGTATTCAAAATGCAAAATGCACAATTTCCCCTCCTCCGCGCGCTCCGCCATATTGAAAAAACCCAGAGAAATCGGCACTTCCTCCAGATTTTCGCGTATATCTTCGTTTTGGTGCATTTAAGCTACAAATGAGCTCCATTTAATGTTGTAGAGGATTGAATATCATTGTCGGAGAAGACATTGACCTACTCGTCCTACTGACTGGCACAACACCTGCGGTGAACAATGTCTGCCTCGAAAAACCAGCCAGAGGGAAACATCCAGGCGTTATCTACTCCGCCTCCTCCTACAAGTATAACTGCAAAAGGTTGTATCTTGCTCCTGCACGCAATATCGGGCTGCGACACCACATCTAACATTTCTGGGTTCGGAAAGAATAAAGTCTGCCAACTTTTTAGGAGAGACCCATCAAGCGGAGAGGTTCGAGGACCCTGATGCCAGTCCCAAAGAAATTTCAGTAGCAGGGAAGAGAATCTTGGTATCCCCATATGGTGGCAGTAAAGAACAATCGTTGAGCTCCCTTCGCTATAGCAGATTGAAAACAAGTACCCTCAAACTCAATCTGGCTAAACTACCTCCGACCACTGACTTCGCACATTTCCACTTACTGAGGACATACCACCACGTCATTGAGTGAATGGGTAGGTAGGTAATCAATTGAAATAGTACCTGCATCCCAAGCATCGCGCTGTGTCAAGTAAAAATTCAAAGTAGGATTAGTATAAACCCCAAATTCAAGCTTGAACTGTGAAATGTTTAGTAAATATTTTTAGATACAATGTGGAGTCACAATAGCCAAAAAAACAATATGCCGTTGTTTTAACTTTCATTTTCACGCCCCATTACGTAGGGTGGGTGAAAAAAATTGTACATACATTTCTGTAGGTAATTAAAATTCCTACAAATCTTCTTCCGATACTTGTTTCTCTAGAATAGGCCATAAGTGAACTACAGCGTTCTAAAGTGAGAAGTTTGACAAATTTCCGGAAAATGCGATTTTTTACATTTTTTAAAAAGGTGCATATCTCCGTAAGTATCAGTCCTGGAAATTCAATCCTCTACAATACTTAATGGGGCTTATTTGTAGCTAAATTGCACTATAACGATAATGAAGGCGAAAATCTGGAGAAAGTTCCTATTTTTTTCGGTTTTTTCAATATGGCAGTGGGCGCGGAGGGGGAATTGGGCATTTTGCATTTCAAACATTCCATAACCATCCTAGATAACATATCAAAAATTCAGAACTACCGGACCGTTTGTAAGGTGAACCTCCTCTATTCACTGGATTAATTGAAAACATCCAGAAATAGGTGAAACATTAATGTTTGGTCAGTTTTTTGAAAGTGAATGAAATGTTTTATCGATATCTATTATCAAGTTTGATCCTCGATGAACTATTCGGGCTCAAGAGCTGAAGTTGGCGTATTTCAGCTGCCACAAAAAAATATTTATTCATTATACAAGCAAAAAAAGTAGCATCAGAGACAAAAAACCGTGAGCTAGAATCTAATATTTTTCCCGTGTATAATACACTATTTTTTTCTGTGACAGGAGGAAGGACGAATCAACATTGAGAAGATATTACATTATTTCGAAATGTGAAAATTATCGACGTGAAATTTCAAGTTTTTAACAGTAGGGACACCTGCGTTTTATAGACATCTTTATCATTCTTTTGAAGTAATCAAATATCTGATGTCACTTCTGTCAGATCAATTCTGTGTTCAGTAATATACAAAACCGCGAAGTCGAATGGAAGATAAAAGGACTTGCAGTTCTTTCTCAGAGACGGTATTATTGACTCATTTTTCGGAACTATAGCACAACAAGAGCCATTAACAGAGTATATATATATGTGATACATATCCGGGAAAAAGTACTCACTTTTTTCCCACGGGAAAAAAGTAATTTATGAAAAGTGACATTTTATAACCTGCCAACAGAGATGAAATGCCAAACTTTTTTCCCGTCACAGAAAAAACGAATTTTTTTGTAATTTTCTACTATTGAGGAAGATGAAAAATTACTATGCAAACTTCTATTTCGGGTCAAATATCTCGATAACTGTTCATTTTAGCTCAGTTGAAGGTGTTGCATTTTTCCATCATAAACAATCAATTTGAGAAATTGGGTATAATCGAAATTTCATCAGTGGCGTCGAAAATATGGGAGGAAAAGTTATCACAACCCTCTGTAGCGCACCTCTGGATAAAATTCTCGGAATGTCTTTCTGGTTAAAAAATTAAACATTGAAAGATGAAACCATATACCGAATTTGAATGCATTATATTAACTTTTTCTTGAGATATTGCGAAACCGACCGTATGTCCCTAGCGTTGTCGGTCAAATTTCGCAACACCCTGTATACCTTTCCTGGCAATAATATAATTCGCCTGGATGAAGGGAGAACGCGTCGAATGCCCTCCACCGCATGACGGCGTCCCAGTCCGCCCCGCACACCCCCGTCTCCGCCGCCACCCACGATGGACCGCTCTTCAAGGCGGTGCCGCGGCTGCTGTCCGAGCCGATCGTCAACAGGTCGAAGAGCTGCTCGCCCGGCACCAAGACCAGCCGGCTGGAGAAGAACGCCTTCAGTTTGGTGGAGAAGAAGAACGAGTTCAACGACAGCTTCAAGGTATGTGAAGGCCCATATTTATAGTTATGGTCCGTATTTATAGTCGCACCTCAAGACCCGTATTTATAATACCCAGCGAGCACAAACATCCCTGGGATGTTTTGAAAATTTTGGCATGAAGATGTTATTTTGAGACGTAATATGCACTGACCAAAGAGGTCTTTGAAGGATATTGGAGTATTGTTTTTGTTCTTCTGTGGCATTTCTTTGTTTGCCTACTGAGAGGTATCCCTGGAATGTTTTGGGATGTTTTAGAAATGTAGGCATGAGGATGTTTTTTTGAGGCGTAATATGCACTTCCCAAAGAGGTCTTAGAAGGATATTGAAAGTATTGTAGTTGTTCTTTTGTACCCTTTCTTTGTTTGCCCCAGCACAACGTCTCATGCTTACGTCACAATAAGATGAATTCTGATTTGTTTTCGATTTTGTTCTTCTTGTTCGAAATTGGCATTCGCGTTTGCAGCGTGTCACGCTTACATCACGTTGCTAACGAACAGAAAGGAATTTGGTGAAGTTTATTGTGTTAAGACTTATTTAGTTTGTAATAATGACCATCAGATGCAAGATGTGTTGTTCGGTGCCTCATTGTAATCAATATATAAAAGTACGAATTTATCAATACACAGCTTCTCCGCAGTTGCAAAATTATGCATTGTGGAGAACATTTCAAAAATTGGGAAACCTATTTCCAATTATATGTCTGTGTGTAGTAAGCACTACATTATACTGCAAGAAACTGATTAAGAAGGTGATTTCATATCAAGAAAATATTTTTATGTTCAATCTATTTTTAATGCATTTTTTCATTCAAGGGAAATGGAATCCTAATGCAAAAGTTCATTTTGACAAAAGGCTTCAGAAAAGTACCTCGAAAATGGTTTTTTTACAGCGATTTAATGTGCGCAAGACGCGTTGAAAATGTTTTGTTGTGTCCATGAAAAGGCTTTAAAAAGAACTAGGGAGAAGGTAGTTTTGTGACATATCAAGGACATCTCGATAATTGCCGCCTGCGGCGGACATTGGCTGTTCTATAATAGTTCTATTCATGTGTGAACAGAACATCGCAGTGGAGGTTCAATGTCTCGAAATCTCGTACTTTTAACATCTCTGAGATGTTTTTGTGCTCGCTGGGTAGTTCCTTTTAAGGCCCGTATTAATAGTCGTTTTCCCAAGAACTCCTCAAGTCTTCCTTATCTGAGGATTCTTTGAGGACTCCTCATGAATACTATTTCAATATACGTGTAGTTCAGACGAATCAAATGATTTGCCCCAAAATGTCACTGTGTTTGAGAATTTTCCTATCAGAGAGTCTAAAAGAAAAATTCACTAGCTTGTCAGTGACAATTTGTATTGAAAAAGGTTTGGAGAAGAGAAATAAAGGTATATAGAAAAATATATCCAATTTTTACTTATCTTTGAACAACATATGGCAGAGTGGAATAATATTGAAATCATTGGAAAAAAAGATAACAACCACTAGAGAAAATCAAGGAATTCGCTTGCATTCTTCTGAACGGACACAATTATTGCTTCCTGTTCAGTTGATATAGATCGAACATGGTAGTCACTACTGAAATCTGAAAATGAAAATGGTAAATCCAAGATCAATTTATGAAAACATCCTGTAACTCATTTGATTGCCAACGTCGCGTTTTTTATCAGTAGGTATCAGCCATTGATTGAAATATTGTTTAAAAGTTGGTTGAAAAGAAAATTTGACCATCACTTTCTCGTGCCGTTTGAAAAATACTTTCTTACTTTCTTATTTTGCATTGTTCTACCTACCCTGGCAAGGCGTCATACCTTTTTTTGAAACACCCTGGTATATATCTGTTTTGATATTAAAACCGAATTGATGACTTTTCGATTGTTTCAGATCAAAAATACTGGGATAGTTCCAGTGCATTCACCAAAACATATGATCAAAAAAGAATCAAAGTTTTCCCTCAGATCCCCACTCATAAGAAGAGAAACAAAAGTGCAGTTGGAGAATGCGACGAACAAGGAGAAGTTGAACAAGGTGCATTCCTTGGATGGGACTCATGTATGAAGTTATGTCATGTGACGAACTAATTTTCTCTTGATGCTCTCAGAAAAAATGGAGGAAATGACAACTGAGTTGAAGAAGCCCATGAATCAATTTTTCACTGATTATATAATTCTTTTGTCTTTCCCCTAATGAAAATTGGAAATATCTCTACGCAAGATTCTTGCGATTGTATTAGGTGGTATGTATGGTCAAAGTACCCTGTATATGGCAACCTAATAGGACTGATGAAGAATATGAACTGTATGTGCGTAACTAACAAAATATGAATGTGTTCAAAGAGACTATAGGTATAACGTTGTCAATCATTCCTTTTGGTTTTATTCAATGTTGTGTTTTATTGTAATGAAGTAATATAAGAATTACAGCTGTGAATAACTAGCTATTTTTCCTCTTCCTAGGATGTTACTAGCTATAGGTAATCGAAAGGCGGAGTATACTGGTTCAAACTGACTATAAAGAATCGAAAATAATCATTAAATAGAGGCCTAGGTCTGTGATATCTTGAATCTTGTCTGCGTGGTATTAGGTATAGCCAGAAAGTGATTGTTTTCTCCCCGTCTTCTACCATTGTTGTTCATGTTATTGAACACGTGTGGAAATGACTTCGAATTACCTGATTGTTAAAATCTCATTGCATTTTGATCATTTTGACTGTTTTATTGAATTATTGAGCATTTTTAATGCACTTTATCGTCCGGTTGGGCAGGCGTAAAATTGCACATTAATGTCCGCGGGTCCATATTATCCACGGGTCGTAAAGTACTCAACCATCCGCTGTTCTCAAATTCCTTATATACTCACATATCAATTCATGAAATACCTATATTTGCACGAGGCTAATTCTATATAATTTCCAGCGGCATATTATATACATGTTCTTCTTCATCTAATTCTATAATATATTCTTCACTATCACTTCACTAACGCAATTCTTTGGATAATTGCTTTCTTGCTGTCTGTGAATTTTTGATGAAAGAGGACAATTCAACTTGTTTATTTTAGTGATGTATCTTGGATGTATCGCTAGACAACAATCATCAGTTTATTGGTTGACAACGTAAACATTTGGTAGGTATAGCAGGTGACACAGGGTATCAAGCTGAAATTTCTACATTCGTAAACGAATATTTTTGATATTCGGTACAGTCATAATATAATAAGCAAACATTTCAGATTTGATTACAATCCATATTGGGAGACTTCCGATTTTTCTGGAAATGCCAGCAACTTTGTTTCTTCTAATATTACTCCCTGTATATTTTCACATATAAGTTCAACAGGTCAAAACAAGTGCAATTCTTGGGTAAAATGTAATTTTTTCGAAAAATTGCGAATTATTCGAACTACAAGGAAATTCATGAACTAGTTTGAATGTAAAAAATGATATGTAATTTTTGTCCTTAATGTATGTTCTATAGAGGGACAAAAATGTGCTATGACCTGACCACATCTCCTTTATCCACGAGGTAAAATAAGAATCAATTTAAATTCAAATTTTTTCGAAAAAACGACATTTGATATAAAGATTATACTTGTTTTGACCTGTTCAACTTGAAAGTTGCTTGCAATTTCCAGACAAAATGAAAGTCCGCCATATATCGGATTGTAATGTGATCAAATCCGAAATGGTTGCTCATATAACTGCACCAGATTTCAGAAAACTTATCATTAAATTCTAAAAAATGGATGAACCGATAGTGATAAAATTCACCAGGTCTGTTAAGTTGTCAATGAGGAATTTTTTGGGCATTATAGTTGATGAAGTATCACTAGGGGCGTGCCCACGGGGCAAGTCAAGTAGTTTCCTTCACTAAAAATAGCACCATCAGATTTTTTTAAATTTTCCAAATTTTTTTGATTGAACCAACTCAAAATACATCTTCTTTGGCTCCAAACTTGTTCGTATGGGGCTTAGTTTCAGAGAAAAAAAAATTAAAACCAAACTCATTTCTCTCCCGTGGAGTATGAATGAATAGAAGGTCCAAAAATATGCAAGAAAGGTTTAATTCTTTTTAGAAATACATGAATAATCGTTTTCAATCAACACCCTGTATTTTGGAAACGAATCGTTTTCGGACATATTATTATGTTTGAAAGAATTGTTTCTTATTTCGGCTTAATACATAATATGACTTCGATGTTTCTTGCGATATCAATGAAACACTCTTGCTTGCGATTTAAATGTTAATTTGTCTTACCTAGGATAATTATTATTTGATTGATTGTCTTTATTACCCCAAGAAAAAAAAGATATAACAAGTTGAAAAAAAAAATGCAAATAATCATGCAATATCAACCTAGTCTTTTATAAGTAGGTATTCAAATAAGAAATGGAATTATCAAAGTCTCTGAAGCAGATATTTTCTTAAGTTAATTTTGAATCTAGTTGCTTCCTGTATATTCCTCAATTGACTTGGTAATGAGTTGTATAGAACGATTCCTGTGTGAAAAATTGATTGTTTGCCTATATTTGACTTGAACGTATTTGCTATTAGTAAATTTGATTGTCTTGTTCCATGATTATGTAATGAATTGATTTCATTGAAATTTTTAAATTGAATAAAACAACATATTTTAAGTTTATATAATGATGTCAGATCTAATAAATCTCTAGGTTTGTATAAATTCATGGTTGGTTCGAGAAAATTTAAATTGAAAATACACTTCAATGTTTCATTTTGTAATTTCATTAGTGGACTCAAACGTGAAATATTGGTACTTCCCCATATAGATATTAGGTATTGAAATTTTGAGTAAATAAGAGAGAAATAAATACTCTTCAAGTATCTGGTAGAAATAAAATTTCGTATTTTGAATAAAATGCCTGTAATAGGATTAAGTTTGTTCCTCAAATGATCTTTATGTTTATTCCACAATAGTCGTTCATCAATATAAAGACCTAAAAGTTTTCCTCTCAATTCCAAGTTTGATATTGAATTTATGTAGATCAAAAATAAAACTGGTCCCAAGACTGACCCTTGCGGTACACCGCATGAGATGTTCATTAAGGAGCTAGAAGTACCACTCACTTCAACATATTGTTTTCTATTTGATAGATAATTTTTGAACCAATCATGAATTCTTCCTCTGACACCAATTGCAAATAATTTATTTAATAAAATGTTATGGTTGACAGTATCGAAAGCTTTGCATAGATCTAATGACAATAAACCGCATTGATCATTTTTATCTATTCGTAATTGGATATCTGAAATAACATCCATAACGGCTACTTCAGTGTCTTTCGATCTACGGAATCCATACTGACCACTGTATAGCAAATTGTTATTTTCCAGGAAATCAAGAAGACGATAATTCATAATTTTTTCTATAACTTTTGAAAGAACCGGGAGAACAGAAATGGGTCTGTAATTATTCATATCATCTCTCCTGCCAGTTTTGTATATAGGCAATACTTTCGCAATGTTCATTTTGTCAGGAATAATTCCACTTTTAAAAGATTTTGAGATAATTTTCAACAATATAGGAGCCAATTCATATTTGACTACCTTCACAATATTATTAGTTATATAATCAAATCCACAAGACTTTCGTACATCCAAGTTGTCAACAATATCTTCAATTTCCGATGTGATTGTGTCAAAGCAAATATTGTATCTCTTATATTCCATATTGATGGTTTTGAAATAAAATTATGCAATTACCTGCATAAAATCTTCCATAAAAATACAAACGAAACCACATTATCATCGGAGGATAATTGCTACAAAAGGTCGGTCCCATGGTTTTATTGCACCTCATGGATTGTCGATTGTCGCTTGTCGTAAAAGAACGTGTCCAGGTATGTATCAGAAGCACTTGTTTTTAATGCCTTTATTGCTGGCCATAGCAGGACCAGGCGGCTCCTTTTATCCTCCTCTTGGCATTTTATTAGATGTTTCATTAAAAGATGAATATCGGCGAATAAGAGAGACTTTACGACCAAAAATGAATCATGGAGTTCATCGTGAGGTTATCAGACACTTCGAATCGTTCTCATTGGTGAGATGAGCTCCTACAGAACAAAAATCGATAAGGACCCAGATAGCACAAATTTGATATTCTCAGAACAAAAATGCTTTGATATACCTCCTTTACAACTCCTTAGCTGAATCTATATCATTATACTGCATTACAATCAGAGCTTGGCGCATTATTTTTTGTATTTACAAATACTTTTTAGTATTCAAATACTTCTCGGTATTTGAATACCGAGTATTTAAATACTTTCTGGTTCTGCTAATAATATTTATACTCACGAATATTTGCTGGAATATATTTATAACTCAGTTTTTGCAAATAGTTTCGCAATAGTTTTTAATACTTTCTGGTTCTGCTAATAATATTTATACTCACGAATATTTGCTGGAATATATTTATAACTTAGTTTCTGCAAATAGTTTCGCAATAGTTATTTTACCAACTAGTGTATTAATGAGGGCGATTGATGATCGAGATATTTTAACGTATCGAGATCATTCATCGCCTTTTAATATACAAGTTGGTTACAAAATTTTTCCGTCGACTATATTTCTCATTTCTCCTGCAATGAAGAAAACTTGGTTCGCGAATTCATCATTCATCCGGAAACTGCTAAGAATCACCCAGTATAGCCTTGTTACTCACATTAGTGACATTTGACATTTGTCAAAATGATCAACATAGAAAATAAATTCCTTGTGTTAGAAAACAGGGATTAAAATCGTGTCAGAAACTTGGAAAGGCGAACCTGTTAACGGAAAATCGGTTGCCTATAAAACAATCGTGCATCAATAGACAAATCGTTCATTAATAGGGGTCATTAATGAACGATTTCATATACATTAAACTCAGTCGTTAATACGAGGTCGACGGAAAAGTATTTTAATATATCTGAAGTATTTAAAAACTTTAGGACATATTGACGCCTTTTCAGTGCAATACAAAGAATTATTCATTTTTTCATACTTTTGCTATGGAAACTGCCTCAATTACTCAAATCTACATTACACAAGGTGATTAAAAGCGTCAAAAATACCTACTCAAGTAACATGAATGTATTCAAATCCTTGAGAATATTTCAATACTTTGAATGTATTTAACTTTGGAAATATATAAATACTTTGACAATACTCAAATACTTTGGAGGTATTCAAATACCTCGGAAATACTCAAATACTTTGAAAGTATTTGAATACTTACTGTGAACTATTCAAATACTTTTTCATTTGTAATTCAAATACTTTTTGGCCCTTCGAAATATTCAATATTTAAATAGTTTCAATATCCGAAACTATTTGAAACTTAATATTTGAATACTTTTCTCAGGGCATTTCTCCAGATCTGATTACAATATGGGGTGGAACCTT